ACGAGTGATTCAGTGTGAACAATTCATGCATAGTCATAAATTTCCACAAATAAATTCAAATTCTAGCGAATTGCAAGCGGGAACACGTTTTTGTTGTTTTGAGTACATTTTTTGATAAATTTGAAGTGGAATTTTTGTAATACATATATTCAGTCTTGTACAAAAATTGTAGTGCACGGACGTGTTGTGCGATAATATTTTCAGCACTTACGAGCTTTTATACGCATTTGCATATGTAAATGCTACTTTTTGGTATGAATTTTTCTAAGTTCTGTATAAACTTTGAAAGTGTGATTTATATAGTTTTTGTTAAAGCATGAACCATGATTTTATAAGAAAATATCAAAAAAATACTAGCTTGAAAAACATCAAAAATATTAAAAACGAAACACCATTCTTCCATTTTTGCCCGTCACTGTAGGTATGTATGTACATTAGGGTAGTCCAAAAACAGCAAATTCGGAATTGTACTGCTCTCACCCCCTAGGATTGCTCTATATCGAAAAAAGTATACCCCTGTTTTTTTATTTTGAAATCAAAAAATATTTAGAGGTCGCTCAAAGCGCTCAAAGTTTTCCATGTATTTTTATATGGGAAAAATACAATTTTTTGTAGAAATGGTATAGAATTCTTGAAAATCAATATTTTTCGATCGGAAAACTCCGGTTCTCTTCAGGATACTTTCAATAATCATACCCAATTGTTTATTTAACCATTTTTTAATACTAACGATTTTTTATTTGTCGCCCCATAGCATTTTTCGGGGTTTCTAAATATTTTTTGATTTAAAAAAAAAAGAAATAAGGGTATACTTTTTTCGGTATAGGACTATCCTAGGGGGTGAGAGCATAAAAATTCCGACTTTACTTTTTCACATGTATTTTTGGACCACGCTAATGTACATATCAATGCTTCATTTCAAACAAGCAAATGGCGATTAATTGTTTTTGAAATACAGGATTATGACTTCGGCAACCCATCAAACATGCCTTCAGCAACAAATGAAATGGCTTTCAGCAACAAGTCAAACGATTTCTGCTACAAACGAACTGCGGCGTCTTGCCTTCGCCAACCGTCCCAATGAGCTCTCATGCTTTCGGCAACCGCCCAAATGAGCTCTCTTACTTTCGGCAACCGTCCTAATCATAGTTGCCAACTTGGTGCTTTAAGCACTAGGTTTAGTGCTTTTTTCTGAACTAAAATTACTCCGAGATAGTAAAAACCTGAAATATTTAAAGCTGTGGCAGCACTGAATTTACCAGAATCTACAAATTTAAATGCACTAAAATACAACCATTATTGACAAAAAGCTGAGGTTGCAAACCCACCTTGTTGAATTCCATTCGCGTTGAAAATGCTAGTACGCAGGTAAGTTACGTATTTATTTTTATACCCGAGCGCACTTGTGCACAAGGGTATTATAACTTTGTTCACATAACGGTTGTTTGTAACAGGCAAAACGAATCGAGATAGATATAGACAAATGTATACATAAATGATCAGGATAAAAAGAGAAATCGATTAAGCGGTGACTGTCTGTCCGTCCGTCTGTAAAAGTAAAAATTAAGATATCGTAACGAAACTTGGTGCGTGTACTTCTTTCGGGCGTAGGACGGACGGTATTGAAAATGGGCAAAATCGGACAATAACCACGCCTACCTCCCATATAACGGTAATTTTCAGAAATACGAAAACTGCGATATTTTAGTAAATACTGAAGATAATTCACTCAAAATTGATAATTACAATAATTTTTAGACGAAAAATAAGAATATTATAAATTTTTGAAAAATGGGCGTAGCCACTTGTTACCCACTTATGGTTACATGTGTATATCTTGGCAACCGCTGCACCGATTTCTTCCAAACTTGGCACAGTTGTTGGCTTTGGTACATCATACCAAATGGCCAAAAAAATTTTTAAAATCGGACAATAACCATGCCCACATCCCATATAACGGTAGTTTAGAGAAATACGAAATCTTCGATAAAGCAGTAAATATTAAAGCTAATTTATTGTAAATTGATGCTTGGAGCAATTCTTTACCAAGAAATAGTTACGTTTATGATAAAATTTTGAAAAATGGGCGTGGCACCGCCCACTTATGATCACATATATGTATCTCGTTAACCGTTCTACCAATTTATACCAAACTCGGTATGGTTATTGTGCTTGCCACATAAAAGCAAAACGTTCAAAATTATTGAAATCGGACTAAAATTACCGCTTTTCATATAACAGTAAATTTTAGAAATGCTTGAAACTTCAATATTTCGAAATTTAAGGACGCTAGTTTACTCAAAATTGATAAACCCCGAATTACGATGTAGCGGTAGCTTTCGGAAAGGTGGAAAACATATATTTAATATTTGCGCCGGGTATTTAATGTTCGGCTCCGCCCGAACTTAAACTTTCTTACTTGTTTTCATTTCTAATTATTTGTACAAATTTTGATTTTTTGTTGAATCCACATCTGACCGCACTATTTCTTTTTTTCTTTTCTAATTATTTGTACAAATGTTTTTTTTTTACCACCTGAGTAAAACACATCGTTTCTTGGTGCTGAATCCAAATCTGGCCTCACAATTGCTCTAGCACTAGAATTTTGAGATATCCTAACCTCAAAGTGCCATAAACACGGTTTTTAGCGATATTTGAGGTTATATAATGAAAACATCAAATTTTTTTCTCATTTCTACTTAGGACATCATTTTCGTTTGTTGCGATTAGATTTTTTTTCTCGAGATATATCAGCTTTAATGGGCAGTACTTCGGTACGACATCATAAGCATGAGTCATCATAGCATAGAGGCTATTCAATCGTTATGAGCGAAAAAGTTTTGTGTATTGATTTATGTATGTAAATATTGGTAATTTTTTGCTTTTGTTAAATACAAACCGTTATGAAAAAAGCATCCTTTGATTCAAAAAAATGTGGTGCATTTGGTGTGGTAAAACGCTTTTTTCACAAGTTTTTGGTGCTTTTTGAAAATCAAAAGTTAGCAACACTGGTCCTAATGCAGTATCGTGCTTTCGGCAGTCGATCAAATACGGCGATTGCTGGTTTCGTGCACGTTCATTCGGAATACTGTTTTGCCGAAGTCAATATCAGTATGAGCTGTTATAAGTATTGCTCACTTGTGGTGGCTGTATTTGCAAGCACTGTACGCAGTGTTCCCATCTTTTGATTTTCAAAAAGCACCAAAAACTTGGAAAAAAAGCTTTTTACCACACTAAAAGCACCAAATTTTTTTGAATCAAGGGATGCTTTTTTCATAACATAATACCGAAGTACTGCACATTAAAACTGGTATATCTCGAAAAAGAAAAATCGAATCGCATCAAACGAAAATGATGCCCTAATTATAAATGAGCAAATAATTTGATGTTTTCATTATATAACCTCAAATATCGCTAAAAACCGTGTTTATGGCACTTTGAGGTTAGGATATCTCAAAATTCTAGTGCTAGAGCAATTGTGAGGCCAGATTTGGATTCAGCACCAAGAAACGATGTGTTTTACTCAGGTGGTAAAAAAAAAAACATTTGTACAAATAATTAGAAAAGAAAAAAAGAAATACTTAACTTACTTGCGTACTAGCATTTTCAACGCGAATAGAATTTAACAAGGTGGGTTTGCAACTTCAGCTTTTTATCAATCATGGTTGTATTTTAGTCCATTTAAATTTATAGGTTCTTGTAAATTCAGTGCTGCCACAGCCTTAAAAATTTCAAATTATTTCATGTTTTAACTATCTCGAAGTAATTTTACTTCAGAAAAAAAGCACTAAAAAAGGCACTAGGCACTAAATAATTTTTTTTTGCGTTTTAATTTTCAAAAAGCACTAAATCTAGTGCTTAAAGCACCAAGTTGGCAACTATGACTGTACGCTATGCGCTGGTGTTCGTTCATCCCCCGTTTTTTATGTGAGCAGGCTTAAAGCTCAAACTAGCGTAGACGTAGGTTGGCGCAGACTCGATTTACCTTATGAGATTCGCGTGTTAACGAAAATTCACCACCGCATGGCGGTGACGTGCCGTTGCTTCTCTCTCTCTCTCTATCAACAGTAAATTTGATATGCTGCTACGTACGTCAACCTACGTTTACGCTACGTCGTTGACTAACTGCGCTTTTATAGTCACAAAATCAGCTTTGTTTGCCAGTCTCTGATACCCAACCCGCCTTAGTACCTACATTTTTCGTACCCCATTAACCATTTAACTTATAATTTTCCCCTTTTAAGTGCTTTTTTTAAATTTCTTCAAACATTTACATATTTTGAAATTCAGTGGCAGCGCTCACACCTTCGGCAAAAAAATTCTAAAAAATCAGCCACTTGAAACTTTCGCATTATTACACTAAAATTAAATTGGCTATAAAGCTGTATAATCATAAAAAAATTTAACACTTCAGAAAAACAGGTTTGAAATTTTGATGAATTTTTTTCAGTGCTCTGCACAATTTTAAGTTCATATTTCAAGTTTCTGTGGTATTTGTTAGGGAACGAATTTTTTTTCATTGAAAAATTTTAAGAATTAAAAAATAAAAATAAGTGGCAAATAATATCATTTTGAATTTCGTCCAAAATGATATGCACTGTTTGTATATATGTATAATCAATGACTTTTTAATTTAATTCTTGTGAAAATGATATAACATTGCTTAATCTGTTTTTTAATAAAGTTTTCCTTTATGTGCTTACGTGTTTAAATAATGCCACGATCTTGGTTTTAAATTACGTATACTTCATTAAATGTTCATGTTTTATTCAAGGACTTATTTATGTAAGTTAACAAGAAGATGTAACTACATCACAAATTATGTTCGCTTAAGTACCCGCATCGAGGTACTTAAGCGGGTTCTTTTAAGTACCCAACCCGCCTAAGTACCTCAAACAGCTGACATTTTTCGTGAGGTACTTAAGCGGGTTTTACTGTATTATGTATGTTTGTTTATATGTGTACTTAATATGGAAACATATTTTGATTTTTGTTTTCAGAAAATCGCATTAATGCAGAAGCTTTACGCATTTCCTGATGATGTAGATTTAGCTATTGGTGGCTCATTAGAAGCACACGCACCGGAATCTATTATTGGGCCGACATTTCAATGTATAATAGGACAACAATTTCTCAACTCTCGAATGGGAGATCGTTTCTTTTTCGAACGGTATCATCCCATTAGTGGATTTTCAAAAGGTTGGTTAGATTATAGATATAGTCGCCCGTATGCCAGAAACATGACTGTGTAAAAATGAAAATTTTGGGAAATCAAGTTTGAAATTTTTTTTTTACTTAACTCTACATTTATGCAATTTAAATTGTGAAATATGTGCTTTCCGTTTTAGTACACGGCGCACAGTAACACTCCCTGCGAATTAATAGTAGCAACATTTTGATATGAAACGAAATCGATTTGAAAGCTAATGTAACTCCCTTTCACAGAAAAATATTGGCATTGAGCCCCAATTACTCCTTAACTTTAAAAAAATTTGTCAAAAATAGTGCTATTCGAAAAAAACATGTAATATCCTAAATGTTTTATTATACCAATAATATAGATTTTGAGACGATAAACACGATTCCACTATTTAATAAACGAAAAAATATAGAGAATTTGAAAAATCCATTACATATTGCATTTTTTGTAACAAATACGGTGGTTTTTGTAGATCTTTTTCGAAGAGCGCTATTTTTAATTATTTTTTTTAAGGCTAAGGAGTACTTTTGGCTCAATGACAGTATTTTTCCGTGAAAGGAAATAACATTAGCTTTCAAAATCCTTTATTTCATATCAAAATCTTGGTTTTGTCGAAAGCGCTACCTATTAATTCGCAAGGAGTGTTCAAAAAGCACACTGTGCACCGTGTACGAATGGTATTCTGAGTTTTGGTATAACATAGAACATCCAAAGGTTAATCAAGTCAACCAAATAACTATAAACAGTCAAATTTGCAAATTCATGCTTCTGGCATGAGGGTGACGATATGCACAAACATACATACATGTGTATTTACTTATGTGTCCAAATGATTTACTAGTTCTAAGTATGTTGTAAGTATGTGTTTCGCCGGAACACAAAAATACGTTCAAATTGTTTCAATCGATTTTAAAGACTTACTATGATAGTGTTTCAGGAATGTGAACTTTTACGGGACCGTGTTAAAACAGCTAAATTGAATCTCTTCATATAACTTTTTATTGGATTATCGAATTTTGTATGTATGTGTATACCATCACAAAGATTAGAAAAATGGCTGCAAATTATCGCTAAACATAGCACTGTGCGACAAAATGAGGCGAAAAAAATACACAAAAGCGGTATAGCAATTTTGATAGGGAAAGAGCCTAAGAATATTGGACCACCTTGTACCTAAACGTCACCATGCATTAAACTTTTCCTGGGTCTACAAGCCACGAGTCTGTGCACTAGATGGTTTTCATGGTGCCAATCAGGGTTTCCAGATTGTTTAAAAAAGCGCAATTTCTGAAAGAAAATCGCCGAAAATCGCAACTTTTTTTATAAAATTCATGAAATCGATTTAACAAATCTTCAATTTTAAAAATTAGATCTTGTTATACTATAGTTTTTAAAACCAAAAACGAATATAATACTTTCAGAGAGTAATAATAAATAACACAAATCACTTATA